TCGGCAAGGAAAACAATGCCTGAAAGGAGCTAGCAAATTCAGGGGACTAACCGGTGTCACTGCAGCTGGAGCGGAGAAAGCAATGGTGAGAGAGGGGACAGATGAGGTTGGAGAGTTGAGCAGGGACATATTATGCAAGGCTTTGGAGGCCTTGTATTGCAGAGATAAACATTAGCTCCATGAAGAGGACTAGCAAGAAAAGATCATTCCAACTATTATTGCTGAAGAGACTAGAAGAGCTAAAAGAGGGAGCAAAAAGTGTAGCAAGAGTCTACTGTGCAACATGGTGGTGGCTTAGGCTACGGAGGCAAAAATGGACATGAGAAACAATGGCTTTGTCATATGCTTTGGCGGTAGATTCAACAGGACATGGTGAGGATGGATTAGCTGGGGGTGGGGAGAGTGTTTGCAAGAGGAAGTGTCAAGGAGGATTCCTGGGCTTCTGACATGAGTAGAGAGGGGTGTTCTGGACTGGAATGATGAAAAATCAGAGCTGAAGCAAATACGGGAGGAAAGATCAAGAGGTCAGATTTGGATGTTTCAAGATTGAGATGCCTCTGGGAATCTAAAGCTCAATATGTTCTGGAGTTAGAGATCTGCAAGTCACTGGGAGTCATTAGACTCTTATTCAGGGCAAGAAGGTAGAGAGAGAGAAGAGAAGGGAGTACATATTTTTTGTTTTGTTTTGTTTTGTTTTGTTTTGGGAGGAGGGAATACATGTTTGGATAGAGGAGTTGGCAAAGAAGCATGAGGTGAAATACAGAGAGAAGGGTGGTAAAAAAAAAAAAAATTAGACATTTTAAAAGAGGGCATTTCCAGGAAGAGTCTGCAGCAGAGTCAAATGCTAAGAGGTTAAGATGAGGATGCAAAGTATTCATGGACTTTAGTAACAAAGAGCTTACTGCTCTTAGCAGAAATGGTGTGGGGAGGGTGAGGAATTAGTGTGCAAGCAAAGGCCTGTTGCTTGCAGTTGGGAGAGCTTCCTAACAAGGGCCTTTATCATACCCCCAGTTAACCGGTCCGCCATTCTTGTGCAGCTTGTGAGAGTTCCATGAAATCATCTAGCCAAGAAGCAATGCCTCCGAACTCCCTTCTAAACTGGTAGGTAAAACCTCAGGGAGATGATCCTTGCTGAGATTTTTTTTTTTAACATCCACATGCACATCTGCTGTGCAAATCTCTGCAAATCAATGAAACACACACACACACACACACACACACACACACACACACACATACAAGTGCAACGAGTGGTATAATCTCACAAGGAACTTGAGGAAGCTGTTATCATCCCTTCTGCTGATCATAGTCTCAAAGGTCAAGACCACACTGGAGTCTTTCCATTGTTGTAAAAGTTAATGAAAGTTAATTATTAAAGCTGACAGAAAGGTAATTTCCCCACTGACTTACATAATCTATATATAGATATCCTTGTACATATGGATGCATTCAAAGGCTATAGTGGGCCTAAGTGGATGAACAAAATCCCTTAGAACTGGACTACTTTATCTCAGAAATTGTCTGCAGTTGCTGAAGTGCTTCACAGAGTATGTATCAGGTAGGAACTAATTTTGTGATCAGTTTATTCAAACTAGTTTTCTTTTTTCTTGAAAATGGTATATTTGCTGATCAAAACATATTTAAAAATTAGGGTTGTGTTCTTGAGGTCATTACATGAGCAAGACTATTTTGAATGATTCCACTAACAATAGGCTAAAAATGTATGTATAGAGCCCTGCCAATGGGAAGTAAATATTTCAATAGACTTTGATTTGACCAGATAAATGATTATATGCATTGTTAAAGCTTAAATCGCCTCTTCAAAGATAGCACAGGTTTTAGCCTTAATTATTCACATAATTTAAAATATTCTGCACCCAAATCTGACTTTATAGGTAGACCTGAAGCTTGGCAAATAGAGCAAGCTTTTAAGAAACGTTTTTCCAGGAAATAGGATCACCTGTTAGAAGGTATTGAGAAAAGCCTTTTTGTAGAGAAGTGAGAGATTTATCTGCACCCCAGAAAGTCCAAGAAGGAAAAGGATGAGAAGAGAAAAAGGAATAGAAGCAAGTGGGATAAACAGTGGAAAAAGAAGAGAGAGAAAAAAATTGTCACTGCAAAGTAGCAGTGTTATATGCCACAAGTAATATTACAGTTGACCCTTGAACAACACGGTTTGAACTGTGCGGGTTCACTTTGTACAGGATATTTTTTTTTAAATACTGTAAATATATTTTCTCTTCCTTAGGATTTTCTTAAGTTTTCTTTTTTCTAGCTTACTTTATTGTAAGAATACAGTATATGATACACATAACATACAAAATATATGTTAGTTGACTGTTTATGTTATTAGTAAGACTTTCGGTCAACAGTAGGCTATTAGTAGTTAAATTTGGGGGGAATTTAAAGTTATACTATTTGGTTCCCTCTAGCCCCCATGTTGTTCAAGGATCAACTGTATATTGTGCAGGGGTGCTCTCTTATCCCACAGGTTGCCAGTCCTAATAAGATGAGATTTATTTCATTTTTTAAAATGTCAGGAAAAGATCACACAACATTCTTAAAATGTGCTAGTGAGAAAAAAATGTATTAAATCATTCTCTTTTCCAAAGTAAATTTGTCATTCAGAAAAATAGTGTAGTGAATGTTGGCCACATAAAGATCATTTCTACTGAGAAATTAGGAAGGAATTATTTGATTTCAGAAACAAGTAGTTTAACAGTGGGTTAATACATAACTTGCCAGTTCCATCTGGACAAATGAGTGCGTGTATAAGTAAATGAACAACTGTATCAATATCTACTAAATAAGTCATATTCAACTAAGAAACAAAATAATTCGCAAAATGAGAATAGATATTTTTTAATTACTACAATAAATAAATCATAACTTAGTCCAGCTTCTCTCCATAATGATGGTCTTTGGTTCTCCAAAGAAAAAAGAAGAGCCTCCTCTAGCCTCTGTTTCACTTTGTTCAGAACAAAGGGGAGAATAAGCGAGTTCGCTTCCGGGAGGTTGCACTCCAGGCTCCCCAGGCTCACATTTTGCGTAAGGGATGTTGAGAGTAGGGGCCTGCGGGGAGGAACACGTATGCTCAAGGGTGAGGGCACTGAGGTGCCTCACCTGAAGCTCTGTTCTCTTGTCTTGTCTCTGTTGGGATAAGGGTTAATGCCCCCACCCCACACACAATATGCCGGAAAAGACTGTATACTGGAGAGAAGCACTCACAAGAACTAGTTTATTGTCCCAACTTTGTCACTTGCTGGTTGTGAGACTCAGGAAAGTCATTTATCCTCTCTGATCTCAATTTCTTCATCTGTAAGTTGGTGATGACAGTGCCTACATTCGCTGTCTCCATTATAGGATAACACTTAGTGGGGCAAAAGTGTAAGTGCTTAGAAAACCACAAAGCCTGATACAAAGTCAAGTGATTCTCTTTATTCTTTTGTGAGCCTCCTGGGCCTGAAACAACTTGCAATGGCACATCTTAGCATTCCTCTGAAGGTGGCCAACAACGTCTTCTGTTCCAATTTTTGGATCACTATCCCTTAAGCATGATTTTGCTCATCCCCAGCTGATTTCTCATCATCTCTCCCAAATTTATCTGTTCTTTAAAATCCAACTCAAGATCCAGTTCCTTTATGAACCCTTCCTCAAATTCCAATCCACATTCAC